CCAACAGGCCTGCGATCAGACCCTCCCCTTACTGTACCCCTAACTGCCTAGTGTTTAGGCCCAAAGGCACAGGCACCTCACAACGTCACCTCCTATTCGAGACCACAGGAAACAAGCAATTACTCAAAGAGCAATCAAGACTGCACCCAAGATCAGAGATAGAAGGATCAAAGCTGTGAATAAGAAGAGTGAAGGAACAGAGCAGAAAACAAAATATAGTCCAGTCATCTTTTGGCAAAGCAATCAAGCATCTCCTTTTCTATCAATGTAGCTAGACAGACAATCGAGGGGAAAACCTAGAGCTAGGATAAGCTAAACCATTCCTCCAAAGGACTCTCAATGGCAGATAAAAGGGCAGGAAGTGTGTAAGTAAGTGCATTTAACTGCTGTTGAGTTAAGGCCCTTTGGCACAATGGACTAGAGGAACAGAGGTTCCAGGGTTTCTCAAGAGCCTATGGATTTCTTGCAAGCTCAACCCTTAATTGCCTTTTTGAAGCAGTTAATTTGATAGCAAGTCCCCCAGTGTCCGAGGTGCAAATCAGAAGCTCTTTAAAATATAAACTCCAAAACCAATAAGTTCTCAAGGCCTAGAGTTATGTCCCCGTGCTCCGAAGGGTGCTGCTGGAGTCCAGAGAGAAAGCCCGCCGAATCTGAAGAAAATAAGGCTCCATCCCCAAGGAGCATGCAGGAAGCCTGAAGTAAACACTACAAAACAGCGGTGCTGAAGTAAACATCTCTATCAGCCAATGGGGGAGGGGTGAGAGTTGGCTCACGTACATGCGGTGAGAGATCCCACCCCAGCCGGGCCAAAAAAAGAAGCTGACACTGAAAATTACACCACCCAGGAGAAAGAGTGGGAGTGAGTTTATACCTAGAAAGGAAAGACAGAGTTGCAGTGGATCCGCAAACATGGAATGTAGAAAGAAGACCTCAGTGCTTCTCAGCGCAACCCACTTTACATTACCAGCATCTAAAATTCGCTTCCAACATAAGCTGCACAACTTGCCCCAGATACCAGCACCCGAAGTCTTCTGCAAACAGAGAACACTGACGAGAATCACTGATTTCCTGACCGTCACACGCTGAGCTGGAGAGGCTCCGAAACAAGATGGAACCCTAATTACCTGGGCTTACTATGCATCCCTCTTACAGGCTGAATCTGTCCTCTTAATGAGGAGCCACTGCCCCAACGAGTCCACGATGGGTCACGGAGATCCCACGGTCTGGAGCAAGTGTGTGGACTGCTTCAATCACTGTTAATGTCACAACGGCTGCACACAGGCAAAGGCATGCTGGGGAAGGGAGGATCAGTAATAAATTCGTCGTAAGGGGGGACTTTGTGCGTTCACGCAGCCATGGTACCGCGGCGATGACTGATGTAACACGCACCAAGGGGCCAGGAACATAGGCTCACACGCACAAAAACACCGATGGAAGAAAAATACTCAGCCCTGCCAGTACAAGGCACTTTTCTGTTTTATCTTTACTTCATAATCTAGTTTATAGCAGTTCTCCGGCTAATCTACTTCGCGGCATGGGAGACGGAAAACCCAGGCAGATAAGAGCTGGCAAAATTAAATCAGGTGAGCATTAGCTGCCATCGCATTTTTAGGCCCTCCGGATTACACGGACGCATGGACACACTCTGCACACGCGCCGGCTGCGCGTGAGCACGGGCGTTGGAACCTTTCCGGGCAATTTAATGGAATTACTGCACTTCAGCTTCAGGGAGGCACTTCCCAGCGATACCTGCGGGTTAAAAAAGCAGCCCGGGCAGCAAAGCGCTCTAACTGCAAGGGAACCATCAAAATACGGAAACAAAAACAAAACGAAATGCCCAGCTTTGCCGGACCATTGCGATCATAACACACATCAATGATGTCGGCATATTGCCCCACTGAACTGAATCAATCGCTGCTGGACAGGAGTGGACAAAGAATGGAAACTACGAAATGCTAACCCAGTGGGCTATTGAGTTGCCTTACAGCAGTGTAAAGCATGAATGCTGCACAGCGAAGCCAGAAATGCAGGTTAAAATGACAAAATATGCTCTGATGCATATATGTGGCATGCTGCCACCAGAAAATCGTGTATTTCATTTACTAAATGAAAATAATTTTTATTATACATTAAATAGCAAGGAGAATATGGATTTAATTCACAAGACGGATGGCAAGGCTGTGAAAAGTGGAATATTATCACCTATATTCAACCCAAATGGAACATCTGCAATTCATATGTGTTTTTGAGGTTGCCTTGTAAAATAGTAGGTCCTATAAAATCTTTAAAGACATTAAGGTCTGGTGGCTGGGAGGGCCATGAAGGATGGGTAACTTGCTACATTAATTCATTGGATGCTGCAGTTGGTGTTATGAAGAATGCCAGCCATTGTAAAAAAAAAAAACTGATGCATAATGGGATACAGAAAGTGCCTGAGAAAAGTACAGTATCACATTGCATTTACTGTCCCATGTAATAATATTAGCAGACAAAGCCAGGAAAAATGCCATTATAGAAGTACTTGAAGCAAGCACTCAGGGGTGTGGCTGCACATTTGTTGATAAAATGATAAATTCCATTGCTGCCCATACAACCATTGACTCATACATCATAAATCCATTATGAGGTCTTTTGCAAGTGTCAGGAATTGCTTTGAAATAGTCCCAGTCACCTTTTGCACGCTCCTGCCACTCTCTAGCACTCCTGCAGTCCTGGCCCGTGTCCGGTCATCGCAAGGGGCAGCTGTGCTCACAACCAAGCAGCGAGGATGACAATGTCTTAACCCTTCCTGTATGACGTCACCCCCCCGTGACAATTCCCTGTGACACACAGCAAATGGCTTCACGGCCTTTGCCCCCTGAGGAGCCTCCCAAACGCTACTCAAAGGACGCAACCTTCAGATCCACAGAGTTCACCTCGTGCCATCATGTTAGCAGAGCCTGACTGTAAAACCGCCCCAGAGAGACACTGCATTTCACAGCTCAGCCTTGGCGCAACCTGCACGAGCGCTATGGGATCCTTTAACTATGATCATTTGTATTCCTGTTTTTTTTTTTTTGCCATTGTAAGTCAGAAAATTGTGGCGATTTTATAGCAATTCTCTCAAAATAAGGCCGTACTGTCTCAGCTGCTTTGGCAACACCGTACTTGCATTAGAAAGAAAAAAAAAGTCTCAAAATTTTAAGCAAGGACAGAGGCAAAGGGAGAAAAACAGCATCATGAGTATCAAAATATCAAGTGAAATTAAACCATAACATGGCCAAAAAACAGCCTGGGACATAATTATAGACGTGCTAAGCCGTAAGCTAAATATGTCCTCCATAACCACAGTAAACTAGCGTAGAGTCAAAGACATTAAAAGCAAACAGTGTCTGGTGGAGAAAACTTTCCACAATGCCGATAACAGCCATGCAGTCTCTGCTTCCTTATCCCATGGAACCTGTCTGCTTTGATATCATTTAGCACGCGCATTGAATTGAGGCCTGACTTTACCGATATTGCTTAATATAAACGTGCAGCCTCTGCCCAAGCTGCTTCAGTATTCATAATTATGCCCTCTCTCTGCCCCTGCTTACCAGTGTCACTCTAGCCTAATTGTACGATCGTGATCCATCACAGCCGTATCACGCGCTGATTCTCTTGCTGAAGGCTCCAAGACGGCCATTATCGTCAAGGTCATTCTGTGCTCGGCGTCGAGCGTTTGCCCTTTAACTGCTGCTAATTTGGTGCCGACATGAATCTGTAACCAGTGGCTTGCTGATTCAGATCAGTGTATATAATGGGAACTCAAGAGAGGAAATCCCCTGAAATTATACCAAATAAATTTTTGCTAATCCTCAGACTACATCCAAAGAATCCGACTGAGATTAGATACATCTTGAATGGTGAGCTGGAATTTTTTTAATTTTATTTTATTTTTAGAAAAAACACCCTGAATTGTCACTGTGAGGTTTCTCTGTCATGATTTGATTTGGAGATCCCTGGAGAGTAAAAGCTATGCTTTCTACAAATCTACTATTCTACTCTCAACACTCACCACACACAAATCTGATGGTCTTCTGTCAATCAGTGAAATCAACATTTAACTCTTGTTTTGAAATTTTCTTGAAGACGTATACGGTCCCTGACAGATAAAAGTTACACAATACACTTTGTGTGAATGAGCACACGGTGTCTGGCAGCAACGCATGAGCTCATTGTGAGCGTATCCCTGATTCAGACACATTCTGGCGCATTCTGTCACCTCGGGCACATCTGCTATGGAATTATGCTCACAGTAACGACTCAATGTAAAGTACACTGTAAATCCTGCATATTACAACAACGCTTCGTTCATCCATACCCATTTAAACGGAAATAAAAAATTACTAATATATGTGTAATGATCATAATGTTAGGAGACAAGCAAACGACACATTAATGATAACAGTATACTCACACTGAATTCATATAAAATAAAATCAGCTTTATAAATAACTGATTAATCGGAATCTTCGATTCTCTGTTACAGTTTTTTAGCAGGCCGGATTACTAATTCATGTATGACCAAATAAGCATAGTAGGCAGTTCATTTCACACCCACGAGATTATCGGTCATGTGGCATGAAATACAGTTTGATGCCAATGGAAAGTTCACTTGGCCGCATTCAGATTTCAGTAGTGTAACTGGATCTAGTGAGTTTCTCGGAGTATGACAACCGTAGTCGGAAAAAAAGGACGCGGGGAAACGACTTAACTGAGCTTGGGAAAATCTCAGTTATGTAATAAACCCCGTCTATTAATGTTAAAGTTTAAATATCATAAATAAAACAATCACATATCTTCCACTGACTATGGCAGACAGCCTGAGTCAAATACTCTTTTATCACAATGAAAATTGAAAGCAGTAATCCACCGAGGGCCTATTAAATTATATGACTCTTCCAAACTTGGATCTGTGAAATCCTCCCCACCCTCCACGCCGAAGTCTCCAGCTGTCGCTATTTACAGCTGTCAGTGACCCGTCCTATTTCAAACTGTGCGCAAATAGACTCAACCTCCACTTTTAATGTACTCTATCAATTATTGACAACACTGGAGGTGGGATATCACGCTACCACAGACAACACACCTAAGAGACGAACAATCAAGAGTCAAGATCATTCCTCCGGTGTTGATCCGTAAGGTGAGCTCCATAACCAATATTGCATTATGAAGGAAAAAAATTCTCTGAACGATAAAACTTTTTTTCTCACCACTAAGTCCTTGCACTGTGAAGTCCAACTCTATTCCTTCACATTGAGCAAGGGGATTCTTGTAAGACAATAGATATGTCTTACGCACGAAATAATGTATACACTTCCGTTAAAAATTGCAGATTTATTGTTTTTGATGTCTAATTAATTAATTCCTTTACTTCATTATAATGTAGCGGTGCCACGTTCTTAATGGACAGTTATTCTAACCCCAAAACGCTGGACTATAAAGTAAACACGTTAGAACCCTACCGGATCGGCTCCTGATAATTTCCCCAAATTCATCATCAACAGCATCGTCTCGTCGATCTTGGTGGTGCCCCGCATCAGCCATAACTTATCAAGTTGCGCAAACGTTTTAAAAAAAATCCTGGGGAAGATAGACAGGCAGAGGCTGGAGATCCGCGGAGAAAGCGGGCGAATGGTCGCGCAGAGACCGTCAAAGTAAATGAATGTTGAGCTGGGCTCGGCGTCTCAGGGACGGGCGCTCGGCGGAGCCGGGGAACGGTCAGTCTGAAGAGGATGAACAGGTGGCGAAACATGCTCGCCTCAAAATAGACCCCGAAGCTGGGCAAAAAGCACCCCGGTGAAACCCGACACACAATGCATCAGCATCCATTTCCGTACCGCCGTAATTTTATAATATGTCATACTAAACAGGGCAGCTTTTCTTCCCTGTTGCCTGATCCAAACGGGAATGCACGCAAGTCAGCTGAATCACCCAGGATCCAAAGGCACACCATCGGCTCGGTGTGAGATCATTTAACGGTGTTTTATAGGTAGGCAGGTGATAAATATAAGTATTTTTTTTTAAGTAGAGAAGCGGCACTTCCAGTTGCATATTCTCCCGCCTCTTTCCGGGTGTCGGCTCTGGTTCCCTAGTAATGAAACTACAGGCTTGCCGAAATTGCACCTCTTTTCTTTATATCTCATTGAACTATCATCAATCACATGAGCACTGGTGCGCGGGCGGCTCCATGCACAGGGCTCGCAAAAACACTGAAATTCACACTTGTAATGAAGGTAAACTTGTAAACGACACAACTTGCAAAACTTGTAATCTGTGTATATATGCATATATCGTCTTGCGCGCTTATATCTATGTATTATTGTATACACAAATTAAGTATTTTGTTTGTTTTTTTTCCCGTCATTTTTTAGGTTTGGCAAAACAAACACGTGGCGTCACATGTAGTGGATCGTGTCCCCGCTTGAGAGTGTCAGTGTCTGCTTCTGTGCATCTCTTACTTGGCGCCAAGTCCATATCCGTTGAAACGTGATCAGTGATCATACTTTTCATGTCTTCGCTCTACCTACAAAGCTTCTCCAGTTGACGTCTAGGCTGGGCTGAGGGAGGGGGTTTTATTTACTTTCACTCCTTCATTCTGAACATTCCTTGCCCTCTCCTTTCCATCCTGTCCTTCTTGTTTGTCCATGACCTCTACCCAATTAGCCTGACAGCCCATCCCGCTAAGCGACTCAGCCATTTCACCAGATATTATTTTAAAGAGCCTTTTTTGTTGTTCCTTTTATATTTAGAGTCAGTGGAAGCATGGCTTTTAGTGTGCCGTGCACTTTGTGACATTAGTCAATATGACATATTTTGCACGTCTGAGGACAAATTAGCCTTCGCTCTCGTTAATTTCAAAAGCTCTTTTGGGGGGGCTCATATTTTCTTGTGCTCAAGCCATGAAGAGGTGCCATTGAGGAGTTCAGAGATCATACACATTAAGACCTCGTACTCATGTAACGTGTAGGCCAACGGCTAAAAATACTCTGCTGTGTGGGAGGCTGGATGCTGGAAGGTCATTATAGTATACGGAACATGCTACAGAGGTTCGGTTTTCCCTGCTGTTAGGTTCGCAGCACTGTGCAATTCTGAGCACCATGGGCACCCCATGGCTAAGGGAGGAAAAATCTAATTCTCAAAACAGCCACCATACTCTTACAGTGGACAGAGCTCACAGATTATGGTGTGGGCAAGCAGGGCCACATTAACGGGCAGAACCTGCCCCTCAAATCCCATCATACCATAAAGGATATCAGTCAGGTTTTGTTTGACAGCCAATACCCTTAGGTGTCTTTTTACAGCCAAAAACATAACATTGTAAAAAAAAGACACGCCATCTCTCTCTTTTGGTGCTCAGATCCATGTGCTAAATCTCTTCTGTAAATGTGGAACAAACCGAATATTAGACTCTAAATTGGAAAGAACGTATATCTCTGGTTGAGAATTGCAGCTGTGTCAAATATCCTTTCTATGCATAATTTGTGTATATAATTTACAAGTTCACTATGCATCGATTAAACAGGCCTATTTGTATGTGTGTATAGTCGAGCCTGTTTAAACAAGGCTGGAGAGATTGACGAGACACAACCTGAATTACGATGTAATTGATATGTAAAAGTCTTCCTAAGCAGCATGTTCATTAAATAAAATACATATTTGAAATACACATTCTAAAATAAAGTGTCCATCCATCTTCCACCACTTTCAGTATAGGGTAGCACTTCTACTGAGGATATACTGTTTAGTGCAAGGCAGAAGGTAACTGGTTTTACCAAAATCTAGAATAATATGTAATAAAATGTAATTTTTTCCCTTTATTTCCAGGTTCCTGCATATATTTGTTTCATTTGAAAGGTGCTGTAATGGGATTTCAGATGTAAGTAATAGTTCGAATTGAACTCTAACATATTCAGAAGTGTCCCTGTCACTGATTCGTACAATGGAAATCGGTGTGGGTTATGTATCCATTCAAGCATGTCTTATCTTATTTGGGAGTGGCTAATTTTGGGTATGAGTGATGCCAGTAGTCAATAACAGTTGGGGGCGTCATGTATCAATAGATCAAAATGAGAAACAGTTCACATGACCGCTTACTAATTATTATTATTGGGAATGAAATGAACAAACAGATAATTAAAGGCTCTCTGTGTCAATTGTGGACATTGTTTCTGGTTCTGAGAAATTGATAGAGGTTCTGATGATGTAGTTCTGCAGATTTAACGCCATAATATAGAAGATTTTGAAAGCATGGTAGGGTACTAGTCCTTGCCAAAGTCAGAATGCTAATCTCAAACCAGCCCTATATAGGTCACCTGTCTTCCTCAAGTAGTCATGTCCTGATCAAGGAATCTTATCTGGAAATCCGCGGCCTGCTTTTACAGGTATTACTCTGTCAAGAAGTGCCTGGTTTCATTAAGAAGCTGGGAAGTATTACAGCATGATTTATTTCAGAAGGCATTTCCCTGAGAAGTATGATCGACTTGTTGTTTCTTGGAGTGTCTAATTGGTCCATGTCCTCCCAGAAGCAAAAGTGACTGGACACTTTTGTCTGCCTTATTAAAGGGACATTCCAGCAGAATGAGATCCACAAATCCATACCCTCTGATGCCTACCTCTGGTCAAAGCAACTGTGTGCATGTTAGTCTTAGCTGTTGAGTTATTCTCCCACAATGTGACATCATCTGCACTGGTGAACATTCAGGGAGTGGAGGTAGAGGTTATGTTGGTCTGCAAATACCTGGGTGTTCACCTCAATAACAAACTGGATTGGTCACACAATACAGATGTCCTGAACAAGAAGGGCCAAAGTCGTCTCCACCTGCTGAGAAGACTGAGGTCCTTCGGTGTGTGCAGAACACTGTAGTCGCGTCTGCAATACTCTGCGCAGTGGTCTGCTGGGGATGCGGGAGTTCAGAGGGGGACATGAAGAGACTGAATGAGGAGTGTTAGTTCTATCTTGGGCTGCTCTTTGGAATCTACTGAGGAGGTGTGTGAGTGGAGGATGTTGGCCAAACTTACATCCATCATGGACAATCCCTCTCACCCCCTGCACATGACAGTGCAGCGACAGTTAAGCAGCTCCTTCAGCAACAGACTGCTACATCCATCATGTAAGAAGGATCTCTTCTGCAAGTCCTTCATTCCATCTGCCATTAGACTCTATAACACCACAGTCAACTAAAGGCCATTCATTTCTCCAACTGAATGTCCTAAACACATGAATGTTCTTCACATATGCGCAATTTCCACTGCATATGTGTAACTTCTATATTCATATCCATATCAAAAGTCTGCTGAAGTTTCTGCTCTGTACCACTATTAGGTATTGAATGTTCATTACATCTGTGCAATATCCACTGCATATGTGCAATATGTGTAACTGTGTACATGATTTTTCGTAAATCTTTCATAATTATTTCTGTCGTTATAGTTTTTTTTTGTTTTCTATTGCTATCTATTTCTATTGGCTGTCGTAACAAGTAAATTTCCCCAGTGTGGGATCAATGATAATAGCAATCAATCAACCAATCAAACAAGTTAGTGATAGACAGCCACAATGACTTGCAACTCAAAACTTTTGCACTGTTTCCATGGTAAGTTAGTATGTACTTGAGCAAAATCCTATAAATAGGAGACCACAGGCAGGTCTCATGATCTAGGATGTTGGTGGACAGGCTCAAAGTCTGGCTCAGAGTAAATCCTACAATTAGTAGTTCCGAGAAAGGATCTGATGGTGTGACATGCAATCCTTCTGCAAACAGCATCGTTTCCCTTCATGTTTCCCACTGTGAAGATACCAAAGCCATCATTCAACTGGTTTCACTCTCCCAGCACTAGAGGAGGGAAAAGCCGGAATTTCCACAAAAATATGAGAGGTGAGGAAAACCATGGAAGGTCAGATCAACACACCTGTTCAGCGAGGGGAGAGGTTTCCCCCGCAAAATGACGAAATATCCCCGTGCAGTAAGAGGGATCGAAAATGAGGCAAAGCACTGCAGGAGATGAACACATGATTAACCCCCCCAAGCAAAATCAATCCTTTGTTCTTCCCCTCCGCTCCATGCATCCTGAACTAAGGCAGACGTGATTGTGACTTTGGTGTCGGGCGCCGTGGTTTCTGCGAAGTCCATCCATCCATCTTCTGTACTGCTTGTCCTGTTTAGGGTCACTGGGAATCCCAGAAGCTCTGGGCGCAAGGTGGTTTCTGTGAAATACAAAAAATACTTGCTTACTGTTATAATATGTCCTGACTAGCTGCCCAAATTTGCACCATATAATTGAACGTTTCAACACATAAAGTGGGTATTTAGTGAAGCAGTTTGGGACTATAACTGAAATGGCGATGAACAGAATAGTGTTCAAGTGCAAGCAGTTATAAAACCACAGGTTCAAGTCCTGGGAGGAATTCTGTTGTATTTTTCTGGAAGGTACACTTGCTAGGAAATCCTGAAATAGTTTTTTTGTAGGTAGGCAAATAAAAATACAATTTGGTCAAATTTCCTAATGCTCCAAACAAAAATGGGCATTCACACTATGTCAGAATTTTTTTTATTTTTTTTTTTGGAGTGGGGGGAAGCTTCATAAAACAATAGTTACCGAAAGAATTAAGTAATTTATAAGAACTAAACAATGTGCAATCACTACATATAATATAATCTCGCTCTAGTCTGAGAAGACTAGGAGCTTATAATTATGCTAATAGACAGAATTATTGAAAAAAATAATAGTAATTCTATTAAAATTCAGAGGGGACAAATGTTTCGATCTGCCATTTAGAATCAATGACTCACTGATGTGGTATTTATGCTTGTTTTTTCTGTTGGCATGGTAACAACTCGGGACTCTCTTTTTTTAAACTGGGAATGGGGCTGGGTAATTGAATATGTAGGGGCACCCCTGTGTGTCCAAAACATACACGGCTGTTGTTTCGGGGAAAAATTACGTTTTTTTTTCTCTTCTCAGAATCCTCTCAGAGACTGACCCAGCTCCCTGAAAAGCTAGCCTTTAACAACCTGTCCTACAGCAGCATGCAGAATGGCTAATCTTCAGTCACTGCCTTCAGGGCTACAGGAAAGAATGACATAAATTGTGCCGCGATCCACAGGGAGAGAGGCAGTAAGTCTTTTAAAGGCGACAGGTCACCAAATGTCTTTATGCGGATGGAACTGCAAAGTACAGTAGCTGTGTCTTACCATGGGGGGGCGCTGTGTGACAGATTTTCTTCAAGGAAGGACAGTATGCAGGCAAAATATAAAGACCAAGAAATACTGCAGTATACTATCGTGTAAATTATACATTATGATATGTATAATGTGGGAAAAATGCCAATTTCTGTATCTTTATTCTGAAATTGGCACAGAGACCTGTTTGTAGAGGGCAGGGGGTGATGTTGACCACCAGTCACATAAAAAGATGTTTGGAGAAAAAATTAACACACGCAGGTGTAATATGGCCACACTGTCAGGGCCACTGCTGGTGGAGATGCCAGTTTACTCCACAAAAACATTTATTTAAATTGTAAATTGGGAAAAATGCCAGGTCACATGACAGCAACATGAATAGAGGTGTGGGTTTTGGGGAGCAGTCGGAAATAAGGGCATTCCGTACAAGCCGTGTTGCTCTCTGCAGTTTATTATGTTAGTATACAAACAGGTGAGCTCCAGACACACATCAGTCCTGTCTGCACCGTGGTTTCGCTAATTTCACAACATGTGGTCTACTGTGAAACCCCCCCCTCTCTCTCTGCCTACTCCCTTGTTCTCTCCCTTGAGCGAGGCTATGTAATTACACAGGAATTGGGGGCATTTGCCTCTTTTTAATTCAGCAAGTCTTTCATAGCATCCTTCCTGCAGCATACAAACACACTGTTTACCACTTTACTTTTGCATTAATCTAAACGAGGTGACTTCCGCTAACGAGGAGAAACTGAGCCATTTCTGGGGCGTGCAGCTAAACAAGTAAACAGGGATTCTTCTACATTTTCACTAAGCCTTAAAAAAATGCCCATCTGAGATGAGAAGCACACCAATGCACCTCAATAGGTCTGCGTGTGTTTTGAGGAACAGAATTCACTGATCCTCGGTGACATTCTCTAAGTCCTTCCAGTTACATTCGTTGGCTTAATTGGAAAACAGGTCAGAAACACCTGGTTAAATATTCAGCTCACATCACAGGATAAACACACTTGTCAGTTAAACATCCAGAAAGTGGGACAGATTCTGACAAATTTACCTTCAAAACAAGATGTGGCTGAAACTCATGTAAGGGAGTTGCTACAGTTATTTGGACTCATTACTGCTTATGCAACCAGGCAAGAGCATTTTCTGTCACAGAAACACATCTTCAGCATTTTCCCCTTGTCGGCTCTCAGTAATCCTCAGTAATATGCCTCTGTAGAAATGGTTATCTTTGAAATGGTTACATTCACGACCTCTAGAGGATCCATTTTGGTGATTTTCCATTCCAGAATACATCTCTAAGGCCGATTTAGTCTAAGTGACAGGGTCTTCTGTAATTCTCAGTGTTGCAGTGTCTACTGGAGGAAATATCTACGCACATATTAAACATATTAAAACGTCTTTAACCTAATCTTCTAAAAATACAGTATTTACAGTGACGTCAAAGCACTGCTATGCTACTGACAGTGCAGAGATACACTGGTAAAAACACATTTACCTAAGTCACGAAGCAACCTCGGCTTATCAAAGAGAAGAAATCGCGGGATTCGCTGGGCGACCTACCGTCTGGCCACTGGTGCAGTGATGTCTGGTGTTCACACTGAATGCACATGCACATACATTGACATTGATATGACTGTGGCAAGACTGGAGTAAAGTCCATAATACAGTTTAAAGAAACAGCGTAGCTAAACATTTAAAAAAAAATAAAAAATACAACTTAAGACGAAAAAAAAATTCCCTTCCAGGCTGAATTTTGGAACTTGAACTCTCATGATGGACCACTGACCAACACCTTTTCCACGTCTGTTATCCACTCCCATCCACTGCTGTTGGGGTATTGTGTGTGCGTGTGTGTGTGTGTGTGTGCGCGCATGTAGGTGTGTTGCTAATGTAAGGACAGTGATCAGCAGGCTGTTTCCAGCAGATCTATAATGTTCAGCCGGCAACACCATCCTGCAGCCATGTCTGATTGATTGTAGGCCCGCAGGATGTACATCTCAGCACAGTGTTTCACTGCCATGTCCAAACAGGGCTCCGTCGCTGTGCCTCCTGCCGCACCCGCATGTCCACGTCAGCACTACATGCGTAAAGCTACAACCCACCGGCTACGGTATTCTCTATCGGCTTATCACCCAGCAAATTAAAAGTCGCGATGGTGAAGACACCCCCACAAGCAGCGATGCCGTGAGGGGCCCGTGATAAAGAATCATTTCATAGTATCCACAATATCAGATTATAACATACAGAGGGAAAGTTATGCAGCAATCTGTAAAATCTGGCAAACTATAGAAAGTGCATCAAAACCCAAAGTGTGACTTAATACTTTAAAATGAGTGTCGAATTTAATTCCTTGCCGCTTTGGGGGTGATTAGCAGTAAAACCGCCGACATAAGAGGAGACACTGTCATAAAAGAGATTTCCACTGAGCATTTTTCACTGATATTGAGAACAGTAAGCTGTCGTAGGATGGTCAGTTTTATGAACTCAGACTTTAAAAAGTTATTGTCAGTTTGACGGGAGGGGCAGTGTGCACAAGATCTCCTTCAGTCCCACTGCTTAGTGTATGGATTATCCATATAATACAGGTGAGTAGAGAAGAGTCAGGGTGTATGGTGGGTTTTTTTTAGGTGGGGGGAGTGCAGGGGGGTGCTATTTAATAGTAGTCTTCATAGTTCTTGGGATTCAAGCAGTACAGGATGGCTCCGCCAAAGGAGAAGATGGTGGATCCCCAAGCCAAGCCATAACCCCAGTTGAACTCATGGTATATCCTTAAGCTGATCGTCTCGATGAACTTGATCGGGTAGAGCACTAGACTACACACTTGCAGAACAACTGAGCGAGAGAGAAAGGGAAAAAGAACAAAAGAGAGAGAGAGCGAGAGAGAGATAAGACGTGGTCATTTCTTAAACACAATTTTCCATTCAGCATTTTTCTGTTTCACGTTTAAATAATGTACATGGCTGTCTCTAACAGTATTAGCATTCCGGGCACAGGATGCAAGCCCGGGAAATGATCAAAGATATTACCTTCCAAAGGTTAAATGTAGGGGAAACATGTTAATAGCTATTTTAGGTACACTGACATCAACCTTGAAAGCATGGTACATTATCCCTACATTCAGATAGTCACCAGAACAAGGCTCTGTCTGGACGGTATATTCATCAATCATCAAGAATGCAGAATGCCATGTGCAATCCACAAGAGACACACGAAAAAAAAAACCCAAATGCCACATCACAATACTGACTCTCCCTCGATCATATATTGTGATGCACAGCCAGAACTGCAGGAGAGCAGAAGGCAAACATATCAGAACACAACCCAGCATTTACAAAGAAAATAGGAAAAGTGTCCATGCACATAATAATAAACATCAATTTAAGAAGAGCATTAAAAGTGTGGATGTACCTAAAATTAGGCTGCGGATGAACGCGTCCAGCAGCCAAAAAGCCAGAGGGGGCTGATGCCGGATAATCCATCAAAACGACGCAAAATAATAAATCAGAACGGCTCTGCTACATGAAAATATGAAGCAAATTACCAAACACCCTCCCTTTGAATGAGCGCGACAGCAGCACAGCGCAGGCATCTATCTATCAGGTCGATCCACCGGTAGGTGCGTACACCGGAAGGTCACACCCCCAATATGAGTCCATCACAACGCACATTACAGTATTTGAGAGTCACTGAATAAGCTGAATAATAGGCCTTTACACTGTGGAGGGAAACATCATGTAGAAACATCACGGCTGGGGATGGATCTGAACCTACCCTAGATATGTGGAGCAATGACCGACAGACCCAATACACTGTAGCTGAAATTGATGCTATTTTTCAGTATCACTCTAAAGGGAATCTAAATTGTTCTAATTCATTCACTTCTGCTCTTCAGTTCTTATTGTCTATTCAGTGCTATTCATAGCTGTTCAGCGCTAGTCTGTACTAAAGGACCGCAATCCAGTGGAGCCTCTGTTCCTAAAGAAACACAATATTCAGCAAACGGTCTCAACTGAACACGTTTAAACTGCTCTCCTTAGTTCCCAAATCCCCTAATGGGAGAGAAGCCAAACCAGCTGGCCTGTGCAGGGGCCTGGAGCTGAACAGGCCAGATCTACACTGTCACAAATACAGAAGATAGATCCTGAACAAGGGTAACTTCAGGGACTGTAGCACTGAAATGATGAATGAGGACAATAGGCAGACTGATCTTTGTTATCTGTGCTACACACTGCCATCTTCTTCTTGTAGTTTAACTGTTTAACATATTTAATAAAAATTACATTGAAAAGGTCAGGTGCACAACGAATGGTACTGCGCAATTGTACCATTGGGCTCTGAAACATAAAAAAAGCCTTTAAATGGGGAAAAACACATGTAATGAGAGTTTATATTGCATTTTACATTTATTACACAACTTAATGGAAGGAAAAGTTTTCATGATCAAGAATGGGATGGTTGAGAGAGCAGTGCACCAATCGCAGTGCGAATGGGCTTTGAAACAGCTCAAATAATGGATAAGCGCATATGGACGTACAGCTGGAATGTGTGTGAATGTGTGCATGCGACTGAAGGACAGCAGAAAAGAAGGCGTGGCTATTCATGAATGTGTGTGCGTCAGTGTGTGTGTGGGAGAGAGAGAGAGATTTACCTGCAGCGAACAGCATCACAGCGACAGGTCTGTAGAAACGTCTCCGGGAGCCGATACACACGGACACCAGGCCCACCAGGAACGAGAGAAGAATGAGGCCAGCTCCGCCTAGCAACAGGGCCAGAGTGGCGATCTGCCAGTCTGCAAAGGAGAGAGAGAGAGAGAGAGAGAGAGAGAGAGAGAGAGAGATGGAGTGGGGAGATGTAGTGGGCAACAGCAGAGGAGTTAAGAAACAGGGGACTTTGAAAACCTTCCGTGCCCATACATGACATTAAAGTAGAGCAGCCCCCCTGACTTCAGAGGCTGATGGAACAGTACAAATAATCCAGGCTATTTAAACAGCCGTCCCCACTGAGAGCAAATGCCTCCACGTTATCCTTTTGTTCCCATTTTCCCCCATTCTTCTCTGAACACCGGTACATCCTTAAAAAACAAACCTCTCGGTTCTGAGGCAGGCAATCCCGTTTGGAAATACCAGCCTGTATTCCCACTGACAGGAAAAAGGGTTAGGAAAGGGGATCTGCTGTATTTAGGGTGACAGCCAGTCTTTCTGAAAATACCTGCTGAACAATCCTGCATAAATTATATATAATGATGCATTCTTAATAAGTCAACCAGTTTGATTGTTACTAAAAGTAACTGTAATTCTCTCAAAATAGGATGAAAATCAGGAGCGCCGAAAGAACCTTTTCTAAGGTACTATTTGAGCCCCCACTGGTTTCATTATTTGTCACATGGAGTCACTACTTGGTAATGATGAAGGTCAAAGTGATGTCAGCACAGCATAGAGACACCTAAGTCGCTGTACTCTTGTGAACACACCACATCTTTTACAGTGGCTTACTTGGAAATTAGACAGAAATCAGCACAGCGACTGTTAAAAATATCTACATTAAAATGAGGCTATCAAAACAATGACTTTTTTTGATAAAACTAAGTAGAAAATTGTCCTTATGCCAAAAAAACTTGAACCTACGGTATAGGTGTCACCTACATTAGAGAAGTATCAAATTAAAAGAATTCCTGCATAAAATATCTATAAATATATTTCTGGGCTGTCAGCGATATGACAAGGACTTCCAATGCTAATGCTAATATTGGTGTAATTTGGTCATATTAGGGCAGCCCAACGTTAACCTAACGCCGTATTTACCTCTCAGTGCAAGCAAGAACAGATTAGCTGACGAAAGTTCAGAGCTAAGTACTAGCTCCATTCTGCTGAACGCAGCGCCGAGTATTGATCGCTTTGTTTAGGTCTCGCCTTGGCAGCCGTGCCATACAAGGCCTACAGAGCTCTGTGGATTTTCTTTGAGTCCCAGGACTCATTAAACTCATTGTTTGGGTAGACATATTATCGTCACCTGGCTTTTGCAGGAAAAATTAGCTTCTGCCAGCAAAACGCTCTATTCTGTAAATTATTCACACCTGCGAGTTAATAAATTATTTAGCGGAGCACGAGGAGGAGGTAGCTGAAGGGGGCACTCGTCCTTTCTTCACTCGTGACCCAGACGTCTCTGCTAAAATATGCCAGGAAGTAAGGACCAATAATTCCTTCTCAGAATGCCTCAAAAGTCTTCCTCCTGGCAGCAAGGAGCTGGGGTTTGACGTCGCCGTTATCTTCACGCATACTTGCGAACATCTCAGCATTGCTCACAGGAGCTGAATCCAACTGTGAAATGCAGGAGGACATGATGATACAGGGGAGGGCTGAGGTTAGGGGCCAAGTCCCTCTACTGGGGGTGTATACAGGGGCGGGGCCACCCCCCTGTCACTGATTGGTCCTGGGAGTGTCCCCATGTCACTTACCAATTCAAAACATGTAATTGGCTAAAAAGGTTGGTTCCTCTGTATGAATTACAGCCTATCTTATGTCCCCACCTTAAAAAAATCCAAGAACCCCCCCTGCCCTCTACATACCCATATCTAATTAATACAACTTACTGGGTAGAAGCATTGGCCAAGCACTTGCAGGTTCATGTTGGCCTTAAGAAATAACTGAATGACTCTCACATACCGTTCATCCCCTGCAAGATTATGAGGGATGTTCATCCTACTCAAATTCTGAACATTTTATTGTTCTGCTAAGGATTCAGAAGCTCATTCGAAACCTCAAGGACTCTAATCATTGTTGTCACGCTCGTCCTTCACCCTGAACCACACAACACCTCTCAGGCCATCTTGGAACACTATTCTTCTCTCACAATGCCACTCGGGCCATCCACAAAACTGTAGCTCATCCCATCCCAAACCCATTTTCTGTTGCTACAGTGACAGCAGCCTGATTGACACCTGAGGAGCTTTCTATCCATCAGCCCAATCAATGATGGAGTCGACAGATGTCTACAACCGGTGCTCGCATGCAAGGGACACACACACACACACACACACACACACACAGCAGTATCCCTGCTAGAGCCGTCTGCCTGTGATCTCTCAAGGACAAGGCCATTTTAATAAGGGTAATGAGACATTAATAAAGCGCCAGAATGAACCGGACTGCCAATGAGCCGGACTCTGGGAGTGTCCCAGTCTTAGTCATTGGATACGTCTCGACCACAATCAGCTACTCTCTGTCACATCCTATATGAAACTCAATTTAAAACGCATAATGAAAAATTCCCAGTTTTCAATGCGCAGCGGCAACAGCAATATTCCCACGTCTTTCCGGATGAATTCCCTGGCAGCGAGGGCAACACAACTGGACATCATTCCAGCCTCTGCGGGGAGGGCTCTGTCCCAGGAGAGGGCCGTCGCAGTTCATTAAACCGCAATCACATGACAAGGAGCATACGGATAACTTAGCTTTCCAGTGAACCTTGCTCATACAGATTTATACAGCTGGCTTTGTTACCGAACTAATTCATGTTTAGCACATTGCTCAAGGGTACAGGTCCAAGGCCTTAGCTGCTATGCTACTTACTGTCCCTAGTTTACGTCTACAAAAGTACATGCTAGTTATTTATTTAGAGGGCAACGTGTGGCTCAGAGTTAGGGCGCTGTGTTTGTGATTAGAAGGTTGCCAGTTCAAATCCCAGGGTCAGCGGAGTGATGTCACCTTTGGGCGACATCACTCCCATTTGCTCTAGGGATTGGCTGACCCTGTTCTCTCGGTTGTGCGTCACTTTGGATCGAAGTGTCAGCTAAATACATAGATGTAAACATATTTAATAGTGTAATAAGCCACTGTCTCCGAGTCTAAAAAGCAGTGATACAATGTTAACGTCTGAAGCAGTTCTTTCTCTTTACAAAGCAGATGCATCTGTAGACTACAGTAAAATCGGATACAGAAGCATTTTCTCTGAGAGCGAAAATGGACTCATCTCACATCCATAATTCATGCCTCGCATGTTTCAGATGAGGCCTGACATCGTGTCCTCGCGGCGGTCATGGAATGGGCTGGCTGGCGGTTTCAGGAAGAGTGCGCTTTCCAGGGGTGCGGCTGTGCTTAAAAGGACTCCAGTCAGAAAAATGCGAACAGGGGGACAAAAATAGGGCCTTACCGCCTTTTGTTGCATTTTATTAAAAGGACCCCTATTAAATTTTGAACAACAGAAAGCTGAGTCCGGGAGAGGAAAGGGGATATGCTAATTCCACTGGCACTGACTTGCATCTACGGAGGAATTACACTAATATAATGTTACGAGATAACACACTGCTCAATATCCTTCTGCCTTTCTCTGCCTCTCCGATAAAACAGCTTTTCTGGATTAGCAACAACTGACTGCCTTCCAACAATGCAGGACTAATGTGTTTGAGAAAGTATTTACGATGAATGCGGGAAAACCCCACACCGACCCGGATTCTTCTTGGACTGAGAGCTGTAAGTCAACAGTTGAGTGAGACTCTGAAAATAAAATCCCTTTGGCCCCCCCACCCCCACATATTATCCAAGTAATACAGGAAAACCAAGAGCACGCAATGTTCGGCTCTTGAGCCGAAACGAGTCCTCAGGCCGTCGTCTAATGGCCGTCAGGCGGATTATCTTCACACAGGTACTCGTCTGCATAGGCCTGTGCATCACTAACAGCACGGATAATCCTCAGCTGAGACATTCGTGCGACTTTTATTCTGCCATTGCCAGACGACCGTTTACGACCAGCTAGCCGAAACCGACACCCGCAAATCCTAAAAAGGGAGCAGAATGAGGCCCCCACATGACTTTTTCTCATGGTTATTTGTTTTCTTACCCACCTACCCCCCTTCCACCCAGCCACACCAATCTCATGTTCCAACCCCTGACTGTGGTCCTCAAACTCCCTGATACGGAATGTTCACTCTCTGCACCACAAGGCAGAAAAGCTACTGGCAACTACTGGAACGGCACGCCTCTCACCACTGGGAGCTGGCACTGTGTGGCTGTCCCGAGAAGCCTGTAGGGGGCACTTACTTGACAGGAAAGGATGGCTTAAGCATCAATTATACCACCCCCCCTTCCAGCAAAACGGTGCCAATTACACTGGCTGGCTGCTGAAGCCTCTGGTTGAAATCTGTGAGTGACACCGCTTAAATGCCACCCATTGTGTCAGGCACCAGACTATTTTCACAATCACCTTTTTATGCTGTTTTTCATTCTGTCGTTTTATACTGCACCTGGCTTAGGAAAAGTGTCAAATAATTCATTCCCTTTGCTGTGGCAGACATAAATCACAGCTACTTCACGTAACCCCAGTGGCAGTCAGGGCAGGCACAAAAACAGACGCCTCTAGTTCACTCTCTCTCGTTCAAAGAAATAACACACCTTTCACTCCCTGACTGGGGTGCTACATGCTGACTGGGTCTTCACAGCAAGGATCAGGCACTGCTTGAAGAGCCGGGACCCTTCAAAAGGAATATTACCGACTGGCTCTCGCTTGTCCTTGAATCTTTCACTCAGTCTGGTCCACCCAAGGACCCGTGTGAGACAGTACAACAACAGCAGAACAAAGAACATAAATGTTACATGATCCCCCCCACAGATGACTCGTAGAGGGCAGACGAAGGGAGGCAAAGGAATGTCATATTCTACCCATGAGGCTATGCTGTGTACGTGAGGCTTGAGATCTCGGTGGTCACTATGAGTCATGTGACAACCAGTCAAATGGCTTCCACTATGGTCTACATTCATGGACAGCATTGTGCTGAGATCTCTGCCCTTGAGAAACCTGTTATATTGTGCGAATCTCATTCTGACCCCGGTTCCCCAATCTCGACATCTTCCATCCGTTTCTATAAGCATTATGTGAAAAGACTCCGGTGCTCACAGGACCTCCGCAGCCTGTTCAAGGTACCCCACTCTGGCCGGAACGGGCAAGGAACGTCAACACGCATCCACAAAAACAGCGAATATGTCTGCCCTCATTATAACTGCAAAGAGACCGTGTTCTGTTCTGGTCTCTTGAATCATTAAGCAAAACATTAATATAATTACATTTAATTTACAAAAAAAAGAAGAAAAGAAAAAGCAGACACGCGGTCTGCCCTAACGGCAAGCTGAAAAACGTAAAGCGTAAAGACCGCGAAACAGTGTGAAAGTTATCTAGCGAAGGCCGGCTGGCCTCTCGCATGACTGTTTGTTTTCACGAGCGATGAATCACGATGCTTCAGATGGTGTCAGTTGTGTGCCGTCTCGCTGTGTGACATCCACATGGTGAGCGACACCGCACACAAACTCATCGCTGCAGCCTTCTGCATGTTTCCCCTCTAAATCTCTGGAATTCCCTGACCGCATTCCCCGCAGCTCAGCCTCTCCCTACTCCTGCGGTTAGTTGGACATATCAGCGTATGCAGCCAGAGTGCCTGATGTAAGCAGCTCCTTGCCCATCACTCTTCTTTATGACAATTGATAGAATTTAGCTGTAAAGTATATAAGTTCTCATTTCCGTGCTTTAAACTATGCTTCAAGATGAATTATGAACTACCCAATGAAAGAGAGTTAATCCAGTAATGAATGAATTCTTATAAGTAATATTTTTTTTAAGTTTTATTTTTACAAGTTAAATGCCCCCACTCACATTTTGAATTTATATTAAAGCCAAAAAGAATTGGCACTCACACAGGTAAATCAATTTATTATGCATATAGATTAATCTGTACAGCACTACAAAAATATCACTGGCATTTTGTTATAGGGCTTCTCATTAGCTTCTGCAATTCTAATAGGATTGTCCATCTTAGAAAATCTCTCTGAAAACTACAATGAAGTTGGTCCATCTTCAAGTGAGAATCAAATTTCACAGTTCCACCTAGATTCCTGCCTTGAAAGTCATCTTCAGTTGTGCATTCAGTGTACAATTATTTTGTGATTACCAAGCGTTTCCAAGAAAAAGCCGTATGAAGTTCCCTGACCATCTGCCATGACCATGAGCTTAGAACTATATATAGCACCAGACTATTTGTGCACGTAGGTATCTGCAATATCGAGTAACACTGATAATTAGTATTGTGATCAATTGCATGAGTGTGAATAGATAATAGGGTATTGTACTCGAATTATCGACCTTACAGAATAAGGGGATTCACTATAATTGAGTTTGGAAGAGACTGTAAAGATTCCGTTTGCTCACATCACGAAAAGATTCAACATGTCAACCGTTTAGCATGAAATCTAATCTGATGTTTTGCTCCTCAAGGCAATAATAATATGCAGATTTTGTGATATCAAAATCTCTGCATAATTACGAATGGAAATAAAGATTATAGATAGGCTAATGATTAAGAGAGTTCAGATTTAAATTAAATTTCTTAAGTAGCCGCACTGGCATCATTAAAAACCCGTGGCATCTCAGAGGATGCATGTTATCAATCAACACAAGAAGTGGTAATTTCACTGCTGGATCAAGTGTCAATTGATAAAAGAGCCGTGAGGTATTCATCTTCGATAGTACCGTTCTTCTGGAGTTCATAAGAAAACAGATAAATATATTTAAATTAATTTCTGAAACCCGCTAAGGGGCATCTTTTTGAATAATGCTTGCTGATGATCTCTTAGCCTCTTTGATGCTATTCTGCTCTCTCTCGCATTAAATCATAGGCAAGACACATCCTCTGATTTTTTCCAAAAACACTGTCCTGCATATGAGAAGCGCAAAGCCACGACGTGCAAGTCAAAGGAAATTATGGATTACAAATTATGAATTACAGCAAAACAAAACATATCCATTTGAGTTAACGGTAAAAAAGAATGCGAAAAAGCACCTGCTAATTCCTTTCTGAAGCAGCAAACTTTTCATGCTCTCCATCATGTTGGGATTCTGGCAGAATGCACCAAAAGGATTATACCTTTATATGGGATTAAAATGGAATGTCTTTCAGACAGAGCGTGCAATTACAACCGCAACAAAGATAAAGTTCCCAAATTCGCGGAATGACAGTTTCAAAGCACAAGGGAAGCAGGCGCATAACATATGCGGTGTTATAACAATGATTATCTGGCAGCTAAAGAAGAGCGATATGAAGAAAAAAAAGAGTCATTCTGCAAGTATGCCATCACGTTTCCCTGGTTACTAATCTACAGGAATTTTGGCACTCTGGGGAGTTTTGTCCTAAAAGTTCGCCCCGCTCCTCGGACTACTAAAGACCCTCAACAAAAGCTCATTTTTCCGGGCAACAAAAGCAGAACAAACCCCCTCCCCAACTCAAGCAGCACGTTCCCACAAGGTCTCGATCGCATCTAACATAAAGCAACGTCTACCAGCCTTCTGAGTGAAAAAGATGACTGAACTGCAATAAGGCTCGGAAACATAAGGGTTCGCATACGCCCTAGGTTACAGATTTCCCCCCCCCCAAATAATAAAGTTAGACAGAAAGTCCCGAATATATCGCGCCGGGTTTTACGCAACGCAGAAAAATGCGCCCGCAGCATCTTTTAATACTTTCGGCTCCTTTAAATAACAAATCTGACCCCGTGTGACATTTTATTATTTGTGCAGTTGCATAGTTTTGTTCCTCGATCAAACTTAAATTCTTAGATATTTTTCAGGAAAACGTAATAGCTTAGAGAAATTAATCACAGAGATGTTTATGGAGCGCTCTGTCCACATAAGGGCTACTAGACCAGAGAAAGGTGTGCACTTGATGCTATCAGATATGATGGTCGGTTTGGCAGTCATAGTAAGAGTAGCGAACTGGGCAGAGGCGCTTTGTCATCGTTGGGTCCATGAACATCGAGTGTGTTCTCCAGTTAGAATCTTTCAAACCTGAACCATTCCAAATGAATGCGTTGATATACTGAAACTACCACGTTCTCAGAAATGCAATGCGTACAAAGTAATATTAGGGAGGGTAAGTATTTAGAAATCATGGGACACGTCTCTCACCTGTCTCCAGCGTGCTGCTGCATTGCCATTTATCCGAGGCCGCGGGTTTCCAGCACGAGTCCCATAGAGATAGGTAGTACTGGTTATCTGCAGTGACCCACGCGGGGCTCAATACGGCCCCGATCACCAGGCACAGCGCGAGGAAGATGCACACCAGCCCAACCAACTTCAGCGGCGTGAGGACGGAGCCGCGGACTTCCTCCGCTCCATTGGCGGAGGAAGCCATGCCGGCTGATATCACCGCTCCGCTGTATTGCGTGATATTTCAATATCACTTTGCTGACGCCTTCCGCCGACGAAGAGGTAAAGGGGCGCCAACAAGCAAGCGACTATGCGGCAGCTGGCGTTTCGCTGCCTGAGGACTGATGCTGCTGCTGCGGCGGCGGCGGCGGAGCGACTCGGCGGCTCGCCTCCTTAGTGCGGTGACGTCATGACACATCCGAAAATCCCGGGAGTGTCACCTGCAGGGTCCTAACGCCTCGGATGCCCAAGAGAAGAATGTGCTCGTGCGGGATTGTGAGGCTTCCTCCAGTTTCTTTTCATCCAGTAACAGTGGTAATCTGAGAGCAGAATCCGTGGGCAGTTTACACAACCAGGGGCAGTACTCAGTATTTCTGTCACGCTGAACCGTGGGTACATAAGTACTCTACTAACTAGATGTTTACCATATCATAAACACAGACTGACACACATAAAGACCAGCACATCCACAGAAACAATTAAATGCCTTGACATAATGTGGCCAATTTGGTAACTTCTGTGTTTGCTGTCTCCATCAATTCTAGACTCAGTTGGGTCCCTATTTGCTCCTAATTCCAATTCCATTACCTCTTCCTCCAGCTGGTTCCCATGGTAGCCGTCTGCACCTGTCAAGCTGTGACCACATCAAGCAATGTTGTATTTATTGTTCTTCAATTTCCATATTTCATATGCCACACACTGATCCAAATGGTCTTATTCGCAGGCTCAATTCATGAGCTGCTTCCAGGTCGGTACGTTCGGCAGGCCTGTTTATGCGTAGTTCCGGAGTCAGACGTATTATGCAGAACTGTTATTTCCATTCTGCTCGAATCTTTCCAGATAGGCTTCCTGCATGCAGAGTTCCTAGGTGAGGCTGATATTCTTTGATATTCACTCACCAGGGCAGCAGGGGGAATGACTTAAGGCATTTACTGTTACACATAGCTCTTTCAAAAGAGATAAACAAACACTGGCGAAAGCTGCTCATATGCAGAGTTGAGCGTCACCGGTAAGAACCAGGTCATCTGTGTTCCGTTTATACATTACATCCTGTGTGTTTGGCAGACACTTTTACCCAAAGCAGCATAGTGAGAATCAGAGAGCAGGGTCTGACTGGGTTCCAGTGGCGATCAGGGTTAAGGGCCTTGCTCAAGGGCAGGGGTGGATTAACTTATCTGGGAGCCCTAGTCCGACACCAGCATGGACACGATCACCGATTTAACTCAGCGCTCCATTTATCCCTGGGGCAGAATGGCGTCCTGATATTTGTCAGGGCCCTAGGCTATAGCTTAGGATAGCCTATGCATTACAGTCAGGCACCGCATTAGGACATTTCAGGCAACGACAGACCACATATACAATAGTATTCCCATAAGAGCATAATGGAAGTGAAAATGTTCTATTGTCTAGTGATGTTGTAGCCAAACACACTACTCACATGTTTGCAGTGACACTGGTGTAAACAAACCTACTACACTGCCAGTCTTATAATAGTATGGCACATATAATTATGTAGAGTACATCATTCTGGATAATGATGATAGACAACTATGTTACTGCTTTATGTATTCACTGTACTTTTATCATTATTTTAGAGTGTACTCTTTTTATTTATAAAAAAAAAAGTTTATTGTAACAGAGTATGTCATGTTATTCTGGCAGCAGCCTTGTACCACGTCTCTTGGATGCATCATTTTCCTTTGTGCTTGATTTAATTAATTACTTAATCTTTTATATCATATTTTTACTGCACCTATTCCATGTTTAGATATGTTTATATACACAACTACTCACCATTGTATTTCAATTGCCTACAGAATTTAGTACAGTGATATACTGTACAGGTTTGTAGCCTAGTGGCAATAGGCTTTACAATGTAGCCTAAGGACAACAGGCTTTACAATGTAGCCTAAGGGCAATAGGCTTTACAATGTAGCCTAAGGGCAATAGGCTTTACAATGAAGCCTAGGCCTGTAGTAGGCTAAACCGTCTAGGTTTCTGTAAGTGCACTCCATGATGTTTGCACTACAACGAAATGGCCTAACGACTCTTTTCCCAGAATGTGTCCCCATCGTTAATATGATGCAAGACCCTATTCCACCCCGGCTGAAAGGCCCGACAGGAAAAACTCTCTACCAACCACGGGATGTTAACTGGCAACCTCTGCACCAGTCTGAAACCCCAGTACAGTGACATTCTATATTTTCAACAGGCATTTGGACTGACATCCGATATCTCAGATAGACCGAAATTACAACTCTGGATCTCAAAGAACCAATCAGACAGACATCATTTATCCCAGAGAAACTTTGTTACTGACCCGTGATAATTCAGAACAATTTTCATTCTTTCCAGAACTCATCAGGATAGCAAAATCTCAATTGATGAAAACTCTTGGCGTTCTCTTCTTTCTCGTGTTGACACGTGATTCTGTCACGTTGACCAATTCAACAAGCACTCTAAACCTAGAATCAACCCTCCTCCCCGCTCGTTCTGTTGTCTTGTGGTTTAAATAGGTTGAGACAGATTAATCCTGACCCCCTTCTCCACTCATCTCGCAGTCTGCTTTTGTATCCGATGCTGGTTTTCGCAGCTCTGAAACACATGGTTTTTTTAACCACACTTTTGTGTGTGCTTGTGCAGTCTCCCACCCGTGCATGTGTCTGTGCTCATGAGTATGTCTCAATGTGACAAGACGGGAATCGATGGCGAAAGGACGGGAGGTACAGAACTGACACCCGAGGAGAGAGAGAGAGAGAGAGAGAGCTGGGCATTTTCCTGCTGAAGCGAGCACTGCCCTGCGCTCCGGCTTGGTTCCCAAAATCCTCGGAATCCCACCGAGTCCCAGCGTGTCTCCGTTAATAAAAGACTGCTGACAAAACCACCTGCCCACCTTACACGTTCAGAATTACAAGGATTCCTCTGCACCCCCAGATTGCTCTTTTGGCTTTAATTTCAGGGACAGAATGTAAGACCTGATATCGAAGCGAAAGGTACATTCAGACCTTATAAATCTTCTTTTGTTGTATATTCCCCCATAAGAGCTGGTTACTAGCCTTGTCTGCCAATGCCCTGTTCTTCCAGTGCTTCACTTCATTTAAAACCTGAAGCAAAATCTTGCAGGGAAATTGTGTCAGAGTTGCAGTGCTGCTGTCAACATGCAGTCACGACTGCGCCGATTGTTGCAAAACACAAAGGCAGAATGTTTTCTTTAACTGACGGCTGGTAATTTGCATGGTTACTGTGCCTGATTGCAACACTGAATGTTTAAAATGTGGATGTGGGACACTGGTAGATCCAGACCTGGGTGAGATTGGGTTAATAATGAGATTTGGTTCATGTAGCGGCACTGATCAGATTTGAAATGGCTGCCTTGCTTCATCGAGGCGGACATCAGCCCTTATGCCACCTACCCAACAAACAGGGGGGGGGGTTCTCTCAAAGCCAGCTATCCTAGGCTGGTTTCCAATGCATTGCAGGAGTTTTGTGAGTAAGGCAGGCCAGGGGACCCTACATCTAACTGCATGTCTACATAGAAGCCTGCTCTACATCTTACAGAAGGCTGGATCTGCAATGTAATGGGCGATCCAGTTGTTTAAAGAGCTGAGGTATAATGACATTTATTGCTAAATAAGCAGAGTGTGGCTGGTTGCCAGTCACGGCTGACCAGTCAGCCTGGGGTAAGTGCGGGTGCACAGTTGTCTAATTGGCCAGGCAGGAATCGCTGATTTCTACCAAAAGTAAACAGCCGGCCAAACACGAACTGGAAAGCTGGGGCAGACAGATGACGAAAGCGACAGCCAAAGAGTAAACGTACGGCAGAAAGCCGGCAGCTTTGAGCGCTACTTCTGTGTGATAATGAGTCAAAATCACTGTATGCACATATTTAGTACAGATTTGTGTGTGTGTGTGTGAGCATGTGGCTTGGGTACGCCTGTCTTCTCGTGGGTAACTATCAAATCAACCCCAAAATGAATGCAAACCCCCCCCCCTCCCTGAAAACACAGGCTCTATTCTGCATTATTCATCAACACTCCCCCCCCCCCCCCCCCACGGATTAACAACGGCTTCTGTGCTCCAAAATAAAGCAAGAAGATGCACAAGAAAATTTTCCCAGAATTAATCACCATCGTACGGACCGCTATGATAGCCCCAGGAGAACAAGCCTCACAGATCAGAACTGTCTGCATCTGAAGTACCAACTCCAGGCAATCTGGAATACCAACAGTGAGATTAAGAAAGACGATTATATTAAGCTAAACAGTGGGGCACAGTTGTTATTGAAAATGGATAGATTGATCAAGATAGACTGCCATAATTTACTCCGTTGCAATGGAAAATAGACTCTAAATAATGACAGACACTCAGGTTCAGCGAGAAATGGGTGGATAATTGATTTTTAAAGTGATATATCTGCACCATCTTCTTTAGCCTACTGTTCTCACCGCTAAACATGGTCAGACCTCCTGGCCCGGCTACAGTCATGCTCTTTTCACACCCTCCAAGGAAATTTCTAACCGAGCTGAAGAATACCAGTGATGCACTGGGCTGGCTCTCTCTTCCCACATGAGTATCAGTTTCACACTAGAAGTAAAATAACACGAGGAGCTTCATTCACAGGTCGCCGAGGCTGTGACACCGTTCCCAAGCGAGCTCGCTGCCGGTTCATCGTGGATGCAAATCCAGAACAGGGCGGCTCTGATGGAATTAGCAAGACAGCCTTCCTGGAGACAGGAAACAGAACAAACTGCACAGGAAGAAGGATCAGCTCCCTCTGGTGCTGTTAATATTGCCACTGCTGGATTTGTCAGCGATGTTGTGGCAAATGAAATGGAATAACAGGCCTGGAAATGGGCCACGGAAGGAGTAGGGGGGAGCGAGGGTAACGCTATATCCGCACAAACACTGACTCTGAATCAGTAGGGGGGTAATGGAGAAGCAGCAACTCCATCAGCACAAATACTGACTCGGTGTCAGCAGGGGGTTGATGGAGAGGGTGAGGCGTGCTCTCTCTCTGTGGGGAGCCGCTGACTCTGGATCAGCGAGGGGCTGATGGGGAGGGTGAGCCGTGCTCTCTCTCTCTGGTTAGCCGCTGACTCCAGATCAGCATACACCATGGACGAATAAGTCTTAGTGCCAGCTTTAGCAGATGAGCTGCAAGTGTAGTGTTTCTCATTCACATGCATGAACACCCCAACCCAGTCACATGGAAGCCAACACCTAAGGGCGCATTTACTTATCTGGGGGCCCTAAGCTGACATCAGCATGGACACTCAGGTGTTGCCGATTTCATTCCATTTTTCTCGAGGCAGGGCGGCGTCCTGATGTTTGCCAGGGCTTTAGGCTGTGACCTAGCATTCCCTCTGCATTACTCCACCACACCGCTCCTCTCCTCC